GCACAAAATATTGTCACCTAAGAGAAGCATAATATACATTTTTCATTTAGCTGTATTTTAAAGAAGTTGAAGTTCACTGCCTTTTTTGCTTCCCATAGAATTAATCTACTCCTTATCTTAATATCTTTTATTATACATATAAACTCAAGATATTAATGTGAAGTATCATGGTTACCAGTTCTTAAAATTGAGATAAGTAAGCAAAGTTTTGTTATTGTTTTAAGAAACTTTATGTGCACTCATACTTTAATTATATACAAGTGTAATTTCCAAAAATCCAAGTCCAAACACAAAAGTGTAGTTTTAATGTTTTTAAAATTCTACTGACCACAAGTATGGCCCTTGAATGTGTTCTTTACGCAAACATTTCTATACATCAATCTAATATTAATATATCCCATTGAACTGTCTCAAAATTTAAAACACCTTCAAATTAAATGGCCAGGTACAGGAAATATGCTTACACTACAGTTATTCAATTATAATACTCTCTCTTATACCAAATAAACTAGTGTTTATTTCTTTCTACAGAGAAACATTTTCTTTATTCAAACATAAGATGTTACAATCTGACAACATTATCACCAAGCATTTCTAAAATATAAATTGGAAAGGCTCTTTTAATGAAACAGGCCCTGCTTCCCTTTGTTATAAAAAAGAAAAGAAACATTAAAGCTTGACAATTTACTAAAATAACTTCTAAAATTTATCATACAGTATGAAGGCTTTTCCTTTGCAAAAAAAAAAACAATAAACTTCTTGTCTGCTGGAATCCATGTCTAGTTCATTTTCATGTCTTCACACCTCTAGTACTATACTATGTAACACATATTATGTTCAGAGAACATTTGATGAATAAACTATATACAAGTATACAAAGAAACTATCAAGAATTGTAACAGCCCAGCAATTTTAAAATTGATTTACCTGAAACTGTGGGCACCCAAGCTAAACACTCTATTCTGACTTAGGTAAGCTTATCACAAATATTTCATATATATAACACACGTTATTTTCATGTGTTTATGAACTAGAACCTCAGCTGATGGCCTTATGAAGGACTTTTTTCCACTAACCAAAAAGCATATGCTATATTCATTCACAGCAGACATGGCTACAAACTAAACATCTCCAATATCTCTCTACCGTATCTATATCTAAATGAGGGCTGTCTCTAAAGCAACCTTGGGAAACCATACCTTATTAGGCTAGGCAGTGGTTATGAGTTTTTTGCTGAAATTATATAAGAGTTGTGAGGTTCTGAAGAGACCCAAAATGTAGAAGAATCACCACTAGAAACATTTTTTTAAACTCTTTTAGAACAGTTTTCAGAATCAATTAAGAGAAACAAAAATGCCTTATTTTTAACTAAAACAGCACTGTTCAATATCATATCACATACTTTAATCATCAGATTTGGCCTCAAATGACCTGTGACCATTCTAACACTAAATGTGCTCTCAAGATATGACGATCTGCTACCAAAAATGATTTACCAACATCTCCAAAAGAAATAATCCAAAAACAATAACGAAAGGAAAAACAAAGTTTAGTCTACAAAAATTGCTTACTTGAAGAACACTCATGGGATGTACATTCAAACATATTTCTTTAAAAAGTCACTGCACCTACAGGGAGAGTCTGATGGCTTTCCATGACACCAATTTAACTGTATTATGCAAACATGTATCCATGATATAATTAATTGTTCTGAGTTTAAGGGAATGACACATTTCTCCTCAGTAAGTTTCATTCTTTGAAATGAGAAGCAAGCAGGCACTATTTTATAAGTTATGAGCCACCTTTTTCCTCAAAATTAAAAGGGTTTGAAAGAGGTAATGAACAAACCCAAACTGGAATAATTATATTCCTGGTATTGCACAGTTAAAAACAGCAATTTCAAGTATATGCCCACATAATCTCTTTCTCCCCCAAATAGTAAAAATATCTACTATTGGTAATTGAGAGCTAATTTTGAACTTCTCTGTATACTGTTTTCAATAATCTGTTTACACTATATATAATCTATATTTTATACCTATTTTAATCAATTTTATAATTAAATAAAAATATTTTCAGTCTACATTTGAATAATAAAACATTATAAATTATAAAGTAATATAATCTAGGGCCGGCCGAGTGGCGCGATGGTTAAGAACTCGCTTGGGATGCCAGAGGGCCCTGGTTCGGATCCCACATATGAGGGCCAGTGACACTGCCCTCCACAGCTAAGATGCTGAACAACAGCTCAACCTGGAG